TACGGGCACGAGGGCGCCGAAAAAGCTTCTCGGCCTTCGCAGCATGATGGGCAGACACAGTCTAAGCGCAGCCCGAACGACTTGGAGGTTGAGATATTCTCCGCGGAACTCCAATTCGACATCGCCATCGGCTGGCTCGTGCTCAAGGTTGGACACAAGATTCTTAATGCTTTCAGCAATGACAGCGAGGTCAGCCAGGACACAAGTCAGCCGCAAGAGGAGCAGAAGCGACAGGCTATCAAGTTGGCTCTTCGCAATCTTTCCATGAAATTTGTCGAGCATGTTCCGGGATATTCATACCCCGCCGAAACAGACAGCTCGCCATTCTTCGGTCTGCTACATAACGATATCTTGTTGCAGACATGCCTATCGGGCCTTGAAGCTCAGCTTTCGATTGACAAAGACATTACGAAGCTCCATCTGAATATCAAAGGGTTTAGTCTCGGGTTCGCGTCTGAACACTTAATATCGTTCAGCGAAAATTTTAAGATGCGCGATTCCGTCAGAGATGTCTTGTCAGCCGAGCAAGGGGATATCGATCTCTCGATCACAAGATCACCTGATTCTACCACTGTAAACCTCATGACACTTCCTTTACAGCTGAATTTGAATATCCAGCGATTGGAAGAGGCGATAGGTTGGTTTGGCGGGCTGAGCACGATATTGGAACTTGGCAACTCGATCTCGTCGGCTTCATCCCCGAAGGGGCCGAAGAAGGAAGTCCCGAAGCGTCCTCGTGGTGTGCACTTCGAAGAATTTCCTCCACCGGCAGCGAGTGAACGAACAGGCTCGGCCCCCTTGAAGGTAAATGTCAGGATCGGAGGGCTTGCAGCAAATGTAGTCGGAGAGACCCACTATGTCAGGCTGAGGACAACCGCTGCCAAGATCGTTAGCAGGCCTAGTGGCGTAGCGGTGCAGATAGACAAGGCCAAATTCACCGGCCCCTTACCTCTGGACGATTCTCGGGACGCTCCAGCCAAGATAAACCTGACCGATATCAGGGTTGAGTACCGATTTTCTCCGAAGGAAGAAGACTTGGACCGGCTACTTGGCTTAATCACTCCGTCCAAGGACAAGTACGACGAAGATGATGATATCATGTTAGATACGCTCTTCCGCCAGCGGAGGCAGGGTTCTGTACTCTGCGTTACGGTCTCTGGAGCACGGGTTGCTGTTTCTCGCACTACTGACCTCGACTCCATCTCCCAGCTGGCAGATGAATTGAGCCGACTGTCGAATGTCACAAAGTACCTACCAGAGGATGACAGGCCTGGTGTGCTGACCCTTGCACTGATGCGTGAACTTGAGATTCAGGTACATATAGGTGGGCAGGTGGGGGAAATGAGCGCCGTTCTTCGGAATACCGAGCTAGCCTTTATAAGCCTGCCCTCACTCATTGCTGCGCAGCTGGGCTCCATAACTGTTGCTAGGAATAGGGACGAAGAGCTTGTCGGAGAAGCATCAGCAATTGGTCACAAACCCAGCTTAAGCCAGAGTCCACTTCCGGTTTTGATGGCTCGCTATATTGCTGATGAGATGGACCCCACGGTCAAAGTGAAGTTGCACAACTTCCGCGCAGAATATACACTCCCATCCATCATCGCCTTCCTCGGCCTCAGTGAGGATATGACTACTGGGGATGTGGCTGCCAACATGGCAAGCTCCTTGGCCAACCTCGCAGAGTTGCAGCCTCCACATCAGGACGTCCAACCGGAGAAAGAGGGTCGTTCTGACACCCCTTCAAAGCCCATCAAGTTGACAATTGACCTTCGAGACTGCGTGCTCGGTCTCAACCCACGCGGCACCGGTGCGAAAGGCCTCGTAGTTCTCACAAACGCCAAGTTTTCTGGTGCGATACATGATCCCGTGTCTTCTGATGCCACACTAGAGCTCCGGAAAGCGTCTCTCATGATCATAGATGATGTGGCGAACGTGGGATATGCAGACAATGTCCAGAGGAGAAGCTCAGCTCCTCCGCACAGCAATCAGGTGCAGTCTTTTATTGACCATGGCTTTGTGACGGTTTGCACAATTTCTTCAGCCACAGCTACGGTCAAGATAGTGAAGCTGAGTGATGATGGGGCAAAGTCACTCGATGTGGAGCTGAGAGATGATCTGCTCATCCTGGAGACTTGTGCCGACTCAACACAGACTCTCATAAGCATAGTCAATGGCCTCCAGCCTCCTACTCCCCCAAGCGTAGCTGCGAAGTACCGTACAGTAGTACTGCCCATCCAGGATATGCTATCTTCTTTTACTGGAGATGCTTTCTTTACAGACATGCCGGAGCAACCCGAAACGACGGAGCCTGCTGATCAGGATCAGGGAGAGGGACACCTGGAAGATGAGCGTGACTACGTCAGTGACTTCAAACATGTCAGCTCGGTCCCCGAACATGGATCTTTGACAGAGGGTGTGATGGCGGGTTCGAACGAACTACTAGACAGCTTCCACTCGCAGTACTATGTGTCATCGAGTATCTCCGAGCTGGACTTCAGAGAGGATCACTTTGCCCAAAAGTCTGCTGTTGGCGGTACAGCGCATCGCTGGGATTCTACTCAAAACACTTACGGACTCTCAGACGACTCCAAGCTTCAGAAGAGCCCACTGAGAATCAGAGTCCGCGATGCACACGTGATCTGGAACTTATTCGATGGATACGACTGGCAGCGAACTAGGGATACTATATCGAAGGCTGTAAAGGACGTGGAGCGGAAAGCCATTGAACGACGTGCGCGTGCTGGCAGCCGAGCATCTCCCAGCTTTGACGAGGAAGAAGAGTCTGTGATCGGGGACTGCTTGTTCAACTCGATCTATATCGGTGTCCCTGCCAATAAGGATCCCCGCGACATCCGTAATGACATCAATCGCAACATTGACGACCTCGCCAGTGAAACGGGAAGCTACGCGACTACGACGACTGTCACTGGGGCCACGGTCCGGCAAAGTCAGTCGCCCTCGCTCCGAGGAAAGAAGCTGCGCTTGTCTCGAAGCAAGTACCATAAGATGACATTCGAACTCAAGGGCATATGTGCGGACCTGGTCGTATTCCCACCCGATTCCGGGGAAACGCAGAGCTCATTGGATGTTCGCATCAAAGATCTGGAGGTGTTTGATCATGTGCCTACTTCTACGTGGAAGAAATTCGCAACATATATGCACGAAGCGGGCGAGAAGGAGAGTGGGACAAGCATGATTCACCTGGAGATTTTGACTGTGAGACCGGTACCTCAGCTTGCAGCAACCGAAATCGTGCTTAAGGCGACTATACTCCCTCTGCGGTTACATGTTGATCAAGACGCTTTGGATTTCATATGCCGCTTCTTTGAATTCCGAGATGATTCAGCGCCAACTCCAACCGCTCCGAGCGATGTCCCGTTTTTACAGCGAGTCGAGGTGAATGCCGTTCCTGTCAGACTTGATTTCAAGCCCAAGCGAGTCGACTACGCGGGACTACGATCTGGCCGCACGACCGAGTTCATGAATTTCTTTATACTGGATGCAGCTGACATGACCATGCGACACGTCATCATCTACGGGGTGTCGGGATTTGACAAGCTTGGACAAACGCTTAACGACATCTGGATGCCAGATATCAAGAGGAACCAGCTGCCAGGCGTTTTGGCCGGACTTGCTCCGATTCGGTCTCTCGTTAACGTGGGCGGAGGGGTGAAGGATCTCGTGGCGGTGCCTGTGCGCGAGTACCGCAAAGATGGTCGCCTTGTACGAAGCATCCAAAAAGGCGCATTATCCTTCGCGAAGACCACTTCGAACGAGCTCGTCAAGCTGGGTGCCAAGCTTGCTATCGGAACACAGACGGTCCTCCAAGGCGCCGAAGATATTCTCACTACCCCTAATGCGTCGGGAGCTGGCGTAGAAGACGAGTACGCTGACGATGAAGAGGCGAAGAAGATCTCCCTGTACGCCGATCAACCAGTAGGGGTGGTGCAAGGTCTTCGCGGCGCATTCCGGGGGCTGGAGCGCGATCTGCTTTTGACACGGGATGCCATAGTCGCGGTGCCTGGCGAAGTCATGGAGAGCGGAAGCGCCAAGGCTGCCGCAAAAGCTGTCTGGAAGCGTGCTCCGACTGTGGTTCTTCGGCCTGCCATTGGTGTATCCAAGGCTGTGGGGCAGACGCTGCTGGGGGCTGGGAACACACTGGATCCTAGTAACCGGCGAAAGATGGAAGATGTAAGTCAATACCATCAGTAGCTGACCGTATACTAACATGCTTGCAGAAATATAAACGCCATTAACGGCTTCGTCGCTGCATCGTTGGCAGTGCTTCCGCGAGTTCTTCTGGGATGATTTGGTGCATAATTGATTGGGACATCTACCGGAGCAGGTCACACATTCACCTGCGGGCAGGTCGGTTACCTGGGACTGATTTAATGATGACTATGACGGATGATTCTTTGCTTAGCACTACTACCCCTTGAGTTTTTTAATACATTGATGGCTTTTCAAGCATGATTGGTGTTGGATTGATATTGATATTTTGGGATGTTTATGATCAAGATTGGTATTGTTATTAAGGCAGGTAGATTGGATGTGAAATACGAATGCTAGATTTGCAGTGTATATTTGATTTGAGCTGTACTGTAGAAGTTCAATTGCTATCAGCGGCAACTAGTGTGCAGCAGAAAAATAGATAGTAGTCGATAAGAACAGAAGTAACTCTACTTACCTCAATCCCGAACCCGAACCCGAAACCGACCAAGCCAATCAATCATGATGGTAGGCTGAGAAGATCTTAGCGCGTGATTAGCATAGTGCTCAGCCACAACTGGGATCTACTTGCTGACCTACCTGCATACCTGATTAGGAAGTACGACGAGGTTCAAAGAGTATGCTAAGAGCCTAAGACGGTACTAGCAAAAGGTTATCCATGATGATGACACGAGCGTAACTCTACTTAGGTACTATATACGTAAGATAATTGCAGTTTTTCGCTGAATTATGGAGAATCATCCGTGGACCCTCTACTCCTGATATCAAGTTTATCCAATCTTGAAGTAACCTTTGAAGAGAACTAAAGACTATGATCAATGCAATATATAATAAACCACAACATAGCCATCTTATCAAGTCGACAACAAAACTCCGTAGTTCAGTATATCCAAGACCACAAACTCACATGAAGACATATCAACCAACCGACCAAAAAGAAAGAAAAGACATCAAACAGATGGAGTATAAACCTTCCCCTCGTGATGGTCCAAAAACGCCAAATCAACAACATCCCTCCCACCCTCCTGATTCACCCTCGACCACTTCGTCTCCTTCCACAACCCCCCAAAGCATAATCCAGGATGCAGCACCGTCAAGGCCGACGTAGCCAACACAATCATCGCGCCCTCCAAGACCATGAACTTGACCTCATCGTTGGCAAGTTTACTATGGAAGCCACCTTTCAACTCGGCGACTCTGAACACGGAGCGGATGAAGATGGTTATTGTTGCGAGGGATAGTCCTGCCCGTGATTCCATTAGCCATTTACAACCCTAAAAAGACCCCCCCTCCTTCCCCCCAACAAAAAAAAAAAAAAAAAGAAGGAAAGGGATGGAATAAACATACCACCCAAAAACCCCCTCCACAGCCTCCCCCCCCTAACCTCCCTCATCCTAGCATCCCCATTGAGTCTATACGGATTCTTCCACACGCGGTAGGCAAACTCCCCACAAAGACCCATAAACAACACCAGGGAAACGACCTGACTGGCTAACCCCGCAATCATGATATTCACTCCTGTCTGGGCGAGATCCGCTTGGTCTGCGTCTGCGGTGGAGGTGATTGCGCCGCCGGCGGCTTGTAGAATTAGGGAGACGAGGTCGCAGATGATGAAGAGGTAGGTGTAGGTTTTTGGTTGGAGGAGGGAAAGGTTGTTGTTGGCAGCGGTGCCGCCGCAGTAGAGGGTTATGATTCGGGTGAGGCAGATGTAGATGGAGGCGGAGAGGAGGGCTGGTGCAATAGTCAAACATATCAGGTATCTAGTTCAGGTTTAGGGTTCTTGTTAGTAGGTAGTGGGTGGATGTGGTGTGGATGGAGGTAGGATCAGGGTATGGGGGGAGGTATGTACTCAAGGTATGGCGTGAATTTAAACGGGTTATAGTGCATTTGAATACGCCCTATATAGCCGATTATCTCCAGGAGAAGACCGCCGAACAGGCCAGTGAGGTAGCCCCAGGTGCGGTAGCGGATTCCGAGGATGAGTTGGGCGATGAGGAGGACGGCGAAGACGGCTGCGTAGAAGATGTTGCCGCCCAGGGAGGGGATGTAGTTGACGTAGGCGTCAGAGAGAGAGCAGATGGAGAGGGTGCAGTAGTCGGAGGGGTCGAGGGATGTGCTGTTTGTAGTGGTGGTTGTGTTGGACATTTTGATGTATAGTATATAATGTATAGTATAGTGAGTTATGCTGTGGATGGATTGAGTTATTTGAGAATATGGCGATGGAGATGGAGATGAAGATTTTATATGTACAGCTAACTTCCATCTACCTCATATACACCTGCACCTCATAGTAACAATCCAAAAATATCCCATCCTTCATTAACCCTCTTGACAAGCCTCACCAGAATAAGCGAAGCCTAACCAGGCCCCCAGTATATCCCCAACCCTAACTGCATCAGATTTAATCAGCTCAGTTCAAGTGCCATGGGTCACTGGTAAGCACCAGCCCAACAAAACTCCCATCTTGGCACATCTCGGAACGACCCGAGAGGTATTATCACTGGCGGAGAGGAACAGTAAAAGCCACGATGGATGAGCTTCAGTCAAGCATCGCCTCGTTGCCAAGAGAGGGAGTCATATAGTAGTAGTTAGTATATGTAGGAAGAGAGGGTTGTGCGGACATGGACACGGACACGGACACGGACGGATACGGATACGGACTTTTCATAGTGAGATGGGATGGATACGGCCCCAAACGGACACGGAGAATATGTATCCACTTCTCGTGGGGTTGCTATTTCTGTTAGGGTTGAGCTAGATATCGAATGAGGCTGTCTTGAGACTGTGATTAGGGACAGCCGTTGCGAGGCTTATTCGATCCTTTGGTCAATGATGATGATCACAGGATCAGAGGATTAGGGTTTGGGGCGGTGGGATGATGTGGTGTAGATATGTCTAGATGCTGCTGGCCAGTTTCTCACGATCTTTTACTTTTGTTCAAGTCATTCGTTGGTCTTATTATCTGTCTCTTCCTCTTCACCTACACAATGACTTCCCGCACAACACTCAAGATCATAGGCAGTCGTATCCAGCACCATGCTGCACGCTGCCGCGCTTCTCTCCCAAGCATTTCCCTAGCTCCCAGGCTCCAAATCATAGTCACCAAGGCCCGCCAGGGTCCCTTTATCTGCTGTCTCAGCTTCTACCTTCTCTCCACATGTCTCTCATGGCTCATCTCAACTATTCATTTCTCCTCTCAATTACACGCCCACACCCTCTCTTCTGATATCCTTTACGCACGTGAAACAACATCACCAGCAATCTTCACGAAACCATACCAATGGGCACCTCCACCATCATCACCCCTTAATGTCACCTCTCCCTCATCCGTTCCCCCAATCATCCACCGCATATGGCGTGGTGACCTCACCAAGCCCATTCCCGAAGAATACATCAACTCCAGCTCCTCCTGCCACAACCAAAACCCCACATACGAGCAATACATCTGGACAGATACAACAGCCCGTCAGTTCATCGAGGCATACTTTCCCTGGTTTGCAGCCGTATACAACGACCATCTTCTTCCCATGCAGCGCGTCGACGTGCTCCGGTACTTCCTCCTCTGGCATTACGGGGGCGTGTACCTGGGCCCTGAGATTGGGTGCCAGTGGCCATTGGATTCCTTGTTGAAGGGAGCAGAGCAAGAGGGCAAGGTGCTGCTGCCCCAGCACTGGCCGTACGGGGTTGGGAATGAGTTCATTGCGAGTAAGCCAGACCATGCGTTTGTGATCAAGGTGGCGCTGAGTGTGCATGAGCATCGATGGGAGTCTGTGCCGGCGTATGCTATGGCTTTTGTGAGTGCTGGGGCGGTCTTGGTGAGTCGGGTGCTGGGGGTGTGGCTGTCTGCTGTTGGGGGTGGAGTGGGCATTGTGCCCGAAGACATGTTAGAAGGGACTGAAGAGGCATTCTTTATGCGGTTTGTCGGGGAGAGGCCGCGCGGGGACGAGGTTGCGGTGTCGGAGTGGTTCTTTGGGAACTGGGTGGGTTGGTGTGCGGCTGGGGTTGCGCTTGTCGTGATGGGGACGGTGGTATTTGGGGTGAGGAGGGAGCCGAGGGCGCGGGGGGTAGAGGGGTACAGGGCGTACACTTTGGTGTAGATAGCTATTTATGAGGTTGGACTGTATTTAATAATGTATTGATGGGGATTGTTTTTTCTTGCTTGTGGTGCGAGACAGATGGTAGCCATGTGCTATCGGTCAGCGCAAGCGCTGCTCAGACGCCTTCGTGTACTCCATCCAGTCAACGAGGATCTCATCAATAGTTGCGTCGGGAAAGAAACCCGGCCATTGCATATCGTATACTTCGCGGGGTATCATTGTATAATCATTAAATCCGTCCAGTGGCAGCTGCGCGGATTCAACGTGATTGTTCTCAGCTCCGGATGAGCTCATGTTACTTGCTTGTACCGGAGGCTGAAACGAATCACTCTTTTGTCTTGATAACATTCGATTTTCAAACCACCATTGAACTCGTTTCAGACGCTGTTCATAGTGGTAGAACACATCTCGGTCACCGGAGGCATCCATGTTAGACGTGACCAGTGCCTGAATGCGAAGAATACAACGACTTAGCATGCTGGATATGTCTAACGCACGGCACAATTCCGCTGTGTGAGGCTGTATCGAAGGCTCTGACGCTGCCACAACAAGTTTGCTGGCAAGAGTCAGCGCGAAGCCAATCTGAATCCATACGGCGTTGTTGAACGCCATTTCACTGCGCAACGGGAGGCTGACGTAGTAGTCAAGCAAAGCTTGGGCCGCAATGAGACCCATCCGGAGAGCATCGATCTGAAATGAGACTTCACGTCTCGGGCTTTGTGTACGGGGCTTATTATCGAACAAACTGATCTGGCAGAGATACAGTTCGGCCGTATAATATTGCATAAAAAGGATATCTGTGTCATCAGTATTGTGATGAAGTCCATCATAAGCTGCTACTTACTGTTCTCATTCAACGGACACGGTAGACTAGCCCGATATTGCTCCAGCTCTAATTTCATCTCACGAAAAGAACGCTCACTGCTTGAGCCAGGGCCGTGGGTCCCTAGAATGTTCTGTGTTGAGATAGAAGTGATCTTCTCCGAAAGCCGTTGAAGCTGCACTATATGGAGTAGGTGCTGATCGGAGGCATACTCGGCATCTGTGGCCAGTAGCTTGCAGCATTCATCAAAATAAGGCATGTACGGAAAAGTACATTGCTTGTGTAGGATTTGCGAAACGCTACGAGACGTCAACTTCAGTACTAACCGTATAGAAGCTGTCTTACCTCGACGAAAAATAGAAAATTCCGAGAACGGCCCGTCTCTCATCATGCCCCCAGGACACCGAATCTTTGTGTTCTTCCGGATTAAAGTTCACTCGAGTCCTCCAGAGCCGATATTCAGGCGCGCGATCCAGTTGCAGGTCCGTGATAATGCTGATCGCAAGATGCAGATACTGCGAGAACCGGCGTGGCCGTGAATGATATTGACACCTAGACCTGTCAGTTCAGCATTCTGGCATAGACTATCAGGCGTACCATGCAATGTGGACTAGCAGCCCTTGCAGCACCTCGAATGAGACTGGTCCATCGAAGATCATGCAGTCGCTAACCTTCTTCTTCACCTCTTTTTCGAGCATACGCTGCAGAGGCATGTTGTCATACAGAGTAGCCGTCAAGATGGTAAGAAAAAGAAACGGCTTGTCTCTCCTGAGGCTCTCAGCAGAGGTCTGTGGTGGGATGACTACGAATGGACAATGAGGCATAAGCGTCGCGCGGAATTCATTCAGCAGCATATTGGCGGCGTCCACGGTAAGCAAGCCTTTGTCAATGGCATCTTTGGACTGTGATGCAGTGCTTGCAGGACTTTCATCGGTTGTGCTGCTATTTCTCTAGAATACGGTTAGTCTCTCTGCATGGCATGGAGGGTGTTGTACGCACCGGGATTGGGGATACCGATGTCGCTAGCAGCTGGTCGACTTTGGCTTCGAGTAGATCGATCCTCCTTACGCGAGATGAGAAGACTAACTACAGGTTCCGTGGTTCGCAACTCACTTGTCCTTGCTATCTCTCTTGATCCCTCCATTTGTGCTTCGAGACTCTGGAAAATGACACTCTTTCCCTAGGCGTTCGCATCTAGACCTAGTAAGCCAACCAAACAATCAGCTCACTCAGACAAGCTCACCGATCGCAGCTCCCGGTAGCCCCGTGGCGGATGCACCGTATCTTGGCCCTGGCACAATTCTGACATGTCCTTACTGAGCCGTTAGAATACCGGCCCCTGGGACGGGAAAGCTCAGATTGGATCAAGTGAGCCATCACAAATGGAGATTTCCGCGTCAGCGCTGCATTCGATAGATCCGACGGTCAACCGGTGATCTTGAAAGCCTGCAGGGAGTCGAGCGATCCATCCGAGTTCCGTGCGCAGACCGAGCGAGATGACAAGGGAGCTGGATGGAATGGGACCCTGTAGACCCCAGCCATGGAGATTAAAGCAGATTAGCCCGAGTCCACCGAGTCGAAGCGAAGCTGGCAGCTGCGGGGCGGAGTTTGTACCCGCCAGCCACACTAATGCCGCCCGGTCACGTCCACTGCCTCTTGGCGCGTCAGCTCCCTTCTTCTCTGCTGCAAGTACCGGTTTGCTTTGAGTTTGAGCACTTTGCCTGAGCTTTCTTTAGAAACTACTCAGTATATCAATCTGAGACGACTGGTTGTCGCGATCAGACTCCGAGGCCGTGCGATGTACCGAATCCGTGATGCTTCCATGGTTCATCACAAATATACTTCCTCTACCAAGTGGGTCCAGTGCCAGGGCACCAGCGCATTTAGACCTTGAGTACGAATTGGCTTCTTTGTCTGAGCTGTTGCTCGTGTTGGGAACCACCAGCCAATCATCGAAGCCAGACTGAGCGAAGAATGACGCTTCCATCTGATTGAAGTTTTTGCGCATGGATATGCTCGGAACTGCCTACTGCTGTTGTGCCTGTTCCTCGGCCGGCGGCATGGACAGGGCACCAATCAGTGACTGATTTATCGTGAGAAATCCTGTTCCTCATGTAAAAGGGATGTAGCTCAAGGTTCCGGGATGATGGTTCCCTGTAACTTTTCCGGGCCACTAATCATCTGCAAGCCGGGCTATGGCTTGCTTCCAATACATGATTCATTTTTGATAGAGGGAATAAATGCCGTTAATCGCATAGTTAGCCTTACTTAGTCTACTGGCAGCCACTATTCAGTCCCTAGCCCACTGCGACATTGAGCCGCGGAGATGACTTGGCGAGCGAATAACCAGACTAATCACCGTTCACTCTACTTTGTTTACGGAGTAGCTACTGACTTATGCATGACAGCCTTCGCGGTGACTGTATGAATACAAGCGCATCAGACAACAGAATAGACTTCCCCAGGCGTGCTATAGTTAATCTCCGCTTTCAACAGTCAAATGAATTCAGGGGCCAATTGCATGAGGTCATCTGGAGCTCATAGATCGGCTCTCAATAGACCCGGAGAAATCTAGACTGCGAGAATGCGAAGACGACCCCGAGTCTAGATCCAGTCTGGCGACAAGGCAAAGGTGATGCGGTTCGTATCTGCTGCCCAACTCATGGCATAATCCATCCATGGATTTGGAGTATGGCTCGGAGTAGTGTTTGTAGAAGACATGGATATGATGGCAATGATAGTATCACGGATAAGTATCCCACTTGCCGTAAAGTCCATGCTGACAGGATTTGTTCGGTATTTCGTCCTGAATACCACAACTGATGACATGAAGCTAGCTTCTCTGTACATGGTGAAGGAAGTGTGTAGAGAGGCAGGTGTATCATTGGGGGTCTATCCTGTGACGCTGTAAATTGTAGAGCCAATGATAGACCTTGAATACAAAACATCTCTACCCACCAGTCAATGGCTCGACGACTCAACATCATTACTTACTAAGGTAGTTACACAGCGATGGCTCAGTCTAGGCCTTGGGAGCAAAGTCTTCTGCACTGCGTCGTAATCTGGGGTCTGCGGGAATGTTTCACCAAATTGCCTGGCATTTTACTAGAGAAATCACGAGACAGGTACGAAGCTCCCGAGAAACGATAAGGCGTACCGCAGCTTCAGTGTGCTTTGTGAAACATTGGCAGGTACAGGGCTCTACAAGGACGATCTTGGTGACGTTTCCACTCTTGCAGTATCGGTCAACGTAGTTCAATGGGGAGTGGTTTCCTCTCGTGGCTTATGAGATGGCGGTCTTGGCTTCGTTGGTGAGAGAATGCCACGCTACAATCGGTTGGCCGAACGGAGAAAATCCGCCCTTGGTGCTAAAATAGTACCCTGGCACGAATGTTGTAAAATAGGTATCCCTCAATGGTTCTGGGGGGGTTGACCCTAATTAGTTTATCAAGTTGTTTGCGGCACCCCAAGCAACCTTAAAAGACTGTGCTATCGAATGGCGATAGAAATCAGCAGGTGTTGGGAACGAGACAGAGTCTGGAACGGGAACACAGTTGGTTAGTAGTAAAGTTCGGCGGAGTGGATCAGAAACCGTCAGCCTCATTGAATTGAGAGGGAACCATCGTAGCCACATATGATGTATGGAAAACTCAAATGGCGGACGGATTGGACGTATAGCATGGCTCGGTTCATAAGGGTGGTGAGGTGAGGATGCCTAGTGTGACTGGACACATGAACTACAGAGAGGAGCAGAGCAGAAGGAAGGAATGAATGGACGAAGCAGGCAAATATAGAAGCGGACTGACTTGAATGCGCCCGAGTTTTGAAACAGCTGAGTTGACCACGTTGATTGGCAGCCGGGACGATGATCGGGGAAAAGGCTGCGGACGAATGGGTGGCCCGGATAGCATATCTCAAACCACCGGGATGGGAAAGGGTTGAAACAGGATCTTCAAGGAATGTAGATTGGTTGGTTACTTTGGAAGGGGGAGGGCTGAGGTCATTCGGAAGGATCATGTCTCGACAAGGAGGCAAGGGGAGGGAAGAAGGAGGCAGAGAACGAGTAAGTCAAGGAGAAAAAAAAGAAGGGAGAAAGACTGTAAGATGGGGATGTGCAAGTTGGAAGAAGTGGATGATGACTCTCTCTCGGTCGGACTTGTCCCGTCCAAGAGGGAGAGATGGATGGATGCTTTTGGATACTTTTGATTTTCTGGTTCTCACACCCACCCGTCCATCCATCCACTCTCTCGTCTCTTTTTTTTGTGTCCTTCTCCTACTTGATTCTACAACGGTAGAACAATAGAGTGGTAAGTACCACCGTCGTACTTTGCAGGGAGGGATGGGGCAGTGGATCCCCTCCCACACAGTCAGAAATACTACTAGCCACGCAGTTGATGCCCAAGTGGGCTGGACTGGTCATGTTTTTGAGACTGAAAACGGAGCCATGGCCATGATTGGCTGTGATGCACGTCAACTGCAGCTTGACCTGGCAGTCAAGTGACGCTGCTGTGCTTTTAGTTGTGTCTGTCTGTTCTTTCATCAGCCCATGGCCGAGTCTGTCTGTCTGTCTGTCGGTTTTGTTCAAAGGGTCTTCGTTATTACTGTCAACCTACTTACCTTACCTACTTACCCTACTTACTTACCATTTTCTCTCGCACGGCCATCGCAGTGGTTCTCAGATTGCCGGGTGCGATCAAGTAACTACTACCACTACTACTTAACTTACTTCCTACTATACTTTCATTGTATTGTGTTACATCTGCTGCTTACTACTTCTTACTATTACTCCTTTCTACTCCTACCTTTTCTATACTTCTTACCCATTCCAGTCAATTGAGACACCCTGTCTCGCTTTCATTAAACTCCCCTTTGCTCTGCCGTCACATCAACGTGCAGGAAATATGCTAATAGCACCGTTGCCCTGCTACTACATATGACAAAACACCCTGTGCTGGTGTTCAAAAGAAAAAAAATAATTAATTTACCCCCCAAAATTACAGCAACAAATAAAACAATCCAATTGTGCTCAATGCAACCTCGCAAAATCCCCGGGTGGTCCTCTTTCTCGTTTCATTCTTAACCTTCATCCACTGGTTCTCAGGTACTACTACTTTCCACCTTCTCCTTTAAGCATCAGACAACCGGGTTCGGCGATGCCTGGCGTGGCCATAACCATGGATATATGGTCCTCGGGCCATGGATCTATACACCAACAAGCCGCTATGAACTCAATCTCGACATCATCAATTCCCCCCGGTCTCGACCCTGACCCTCTACAGTTATCTACCACGAGTCCGGCCATGTGCCAGCCCGCATTTCCAGGAACATTGTCCCTCCACCACTATCGCAAACAACTCTCCGACGGCGACGCCTTTGCCTTTGACAGTCCAGAGGGACATATACTGAAGCGCAAAAACGCTGCTATACACCTCAATCAGACCCCGATGTATCCGCATCATTCCGCGCATCCGTTCTCCGTGTCGTCCGCGGCATCGAGTCCTCCCCCGTTGTCCCCATCTTACTCGCCGAGCGCGATGAGTGAGCAGGGGCCAGAGAGTCTCCGGGGGTTTGCTTGTGAGTGACTGGTTTCGCATGCGAAAATGTCATAATGGATCAGAATGCTGACAATTATTCCAGTGTCGCCAAATGTAGAACTACATTCATCAGACAGCCCGATATACTCCAGATCGAACCCCCACAGACTACTGGTAGGTGGTTCCCCCGCAACAATTTCTTATTCTCTATTCACATAGGGTATATAGGACACATTTCGTGACAGGTTGGAGAAATACCCGGATTCAAATCCAGACCAGGAAGGGTCCTTTCATAAGCACACCCGGACCCGCTCGGACTCAATCCTATTCAACATGAAAAATCGGACTGCAACCGTGATTGATCATGGCACTTCATTCGAAATCGTCAATCCTCATGAATCCCTCAACTTTGCTCGAATAGTCTCGTTTATCGAGGATGTCGACGCTTATTCAGCTCGCGACTCGACCGGCCACCACCGGGAATCTTACATAGAGACGACTGAAGAGCGGCTGACGATATCTGAAGAAGATTACCTTCGGGCCATTGCACCATTGAGCCCAGCGCCAGAAGAAAATGAACAGAAAGTCCACGAAGAGCTCGTGGGCGATACTCCGCACCAGCCCATACCATCCATCTCCGAGCGCCTACAGCACAAGGACTCCGAAGACATGGAATCACGGTACTCACGATCCCCAAACTACACACAACGTCGGCCGCCGCCATTGCGACCGAGGGCTTGGACCGATGAAAGCGATCTGGGGGAGCCGGGCTCTCCCATCCACGAAGACGGTGATTACCCGTCGCCAATGTCATATGCACGTCCATCGACGGCTCCGTTTCCAAGTGACGGACAAATGTACCCAGCATCGCCAGTCTCCCCCTTAGCAGGGTACTACGACATGAACCTCTGGCAAGGAGGTTCTCCCATCCAAGATGGACCTGGCATACCGCATCCGCTATACTCGAACCCCCCGTCCCCCTACGCCAGCCCATCACCGTTCCCCTCGCCACACCAGACGCAAAAAATCCACATCCACCACAACATATCCAAACGCTCGCTCGAAAAACGCAAAAAGAACAACAAGGCCAATGCGGGGCCACTAAACCCGTTTAAACGGCTATACAGCATGTTTCGAAAGAAACGGCAGTAACCCGTCGGAAAACC